TCCCAAAAAAAAAACATTTAATTGGATGGAATGTGCCCCCTTTTGGATAGGACTGCCTGTGGTGTACGAATGCAGGATTTCAGAGGAGGATTTCAGATTATATGTGTTTTTGATCCCTTTCAAGTTAGCTTAATAAATTCTAAAATATGTGGCTTTTTATTTATTTTTTAATTGTGGTTTGGATGTAGAAAATAAAATGTGGGTAAGTGGTATCTTTCATGTCAAGAAAGATGCCAATTAAAACCAAATAAGATATAGAAAACATTTGCAAAAACTATTTTAAATTTATCTGAGCATTCAATTTGGTGCAACTAATTTGTTTATTTTTACATTAATAATGGTTAACCAAATTTGGTTACAGATACATGAGTCACTCCATTTACCAAAATATTTGTCATAGACCTCTACAAAAAAATACAACAGAAGAGTCCAATGTAAGTACTGGTAGATATGTGAATTGCTTCTGAATACCAACAGAAAAGCAAAAAAAAAAGAAAAAAAAAACAAATATATGCTGATGATAAAGAAACACTTTTTTACATCAAGTACCTACTTGAATCAGTGCACAAATACATACACATACGTACCCAGAGATATACTTGAACATAATTTATAACCATTTTCGGTAAAGAAGAGTGATTCAATATCATTTCTTGGGAAGGTTGATAGTTGGCCGATGGTTAGTTGGTTGTTACCACACCAAAGTGTGGGGGTTACTCATCGTCATGATGATCACCACCATCTTCGTCATCGTGTCATCCTGTAAAACAGGTTTGTATGTAGTGAGAAGAGCGGGAGGGTTGGTAGGCCTTGGGGAAAGCGATAACGTCACAGTGAAATGTTTTATTTAAAAATAACATAAATGGAAATTTCTGGAATGCAGAATGCGCACTTTGATTACCCACCAATGAGCAGGGGGAATTTTAGGATGTTATTGTTTACTTTTCTTGTTTTTGGGGGAGAAATGGTGTGGTAATGGGGGAAGCCAAAAAATTCAACACAAGGTAAGTAGATAAACAAACGTTAATAATGTTTCTCTACACATCATAAGTGAACAAAGAAATCTAATATTCAATGACTTTTGAAATAATTTTCCGATTTTTTCAGTATAAAGTGAATCGTATAGTACATGATTTGCCTTATTAAGTTTTCATGGTTGTTAAATCAAAAATAATAAGTTTTTCTTCAAATATGGCATAAAATGAAAATAAAAACATGGAAAAACAAATAACAGGTGTTTCAATATGTGCTGCCGTTTTTTTCGCGTAATCACGACTTTTTCACATTGTTCTGCATTTCAATGAGAAAAAAAATCACCAAAATATTATTGATTTATCTACGATTATGATTTTTGCCATATGTGGATATTTTTTGCGAACAACAAAAACCAAAAGTCTACTGTGTAAAAGTCACACCATCTAAATATGGTCGAAAGCTGTCACATATAAGTATATATGTTTTATCGATGACACACACATATGCCATATATTGTATGCTTGACATACACAATATTGACATATCATTTAAACTCAATGTTTGTTTTGGGGCCTATGTTTGGTAGGCATTAGTCATCAATTTTTGGTCGTAATGTTTTGTTAAGAAGTGATTTGGTCTTTTGATTTTTTTTAAATAGATTTCTGTTGTGTGAAAAATTGTGCTGGATTTTCTATATTGGAATTTTTTTTTTTTTGTGGGGAGGGATGTCTTGAAGTATTTATTCAGCTTGTCATACCAATTTGGATATATATTAAATGTTTTTTTTTTAAGTTTTTACAGATGCCGAGGTCTTTCCTGCCATTTTTCGTACATTTTACATTAAAAGGTAAATTGTTTTATACCGATTTGGGTCTCAATACAGAATTTCGTTGAGTTACAAACGGAATGACAAACTTCGGAAAATTTCGTTAATTATAGAATGAGTCAAAAAAGTATAAATATATTTTTTAGTGCGTTGAACTTCAAAGATATAAGGGTGCAAGTACATAACAAGCTTGAAGTCATGGCTAGGCATATTAATGTCAAATTATAATGGAAAACGACGGCAGGATTTTAGTGCGGCTCTGTAATTCCTTTATGAAATGCCACAAAATATGCCTAACCATGACTTCAAGCTTCTTATGTACTTAGACCCTAAATGCATTATCCCCAATTTATAATATATATTTTTATAAACTTTAGCCGAAAATCTCAGTTTTGCAAATACCTGAAAACCCCTAAATTGGCAACATTTTAAAAATAAATGGGCACCTTCACCAAAGAAATATGTGTGATACTTCACCACAATAGTGGGTAAGAGGGAGATACCGAGAGTAAAAATGGGATATTAATGAGCTCTTGTTCTGATAAGATACATAAGCTTGAAAACCGCTAAATTGGCAATACTTTAAAAACAAATGGAGGTACAATAGTGTATGTAGTAGGAAGAGTGATAGAATAAATATGAGAGGTCAATAACCTATACTTTTCGTTTTCCTTTTTAATAAGTGATATTAAAAGGGTTGCCAAGATGCTTGGGCGAAATCTTGACATGTAGGCAGGTTTGAGAAAAATATATACAGGCTTGCTAAAATGTGTACGTGCCGGGAAATATATTTCCTACAGGTGCAATGTAATACAAGAATGGGAGCTCGAAAATTATACTTAATTCAAAAATTGTTACGATTGAACAGAAAAGAGAATTTGGTTATGTTTGAAAAATAAAGAACTAACCCACAATTCATACAAGACATTTATAATCTCCAATAAGGTTCTTCTTCTTAAATAATATGCCAGCTTACACCCATAATATAGGATAACGAAGAAGCAAACTACCAAAAAAAGCCAGGTCAACGTAAACAACGTGAAGTGGACCCGTCATCGATATCCAAAGTGAGATGGATGTGGAAAAATGGGTTAAAGCTTAAAAAGGACCCTTTCGATATATATACCCTATGATAAAGAGTGTGCCCTACAAAAGAAGCAAAAAACCCAAGATAAGAGTAAAATTTGAGCAAATGCTCCTCCAACTTTTACTTATTCGCACGCCGGCCTAAAATGTTTCCTAAGAATAAAAAGACATATTCTTAAAAAGAATACGAACAACGTGAACGCGTTATGAAAATTTGTCACCTTCGAGATATATAGCCTATTTTATGAGACTGCCCTACGGATTAAGCAAAGAAAAAACTCGCCCTTGAGGCAGTGAGTCTTTAAGCCAACTACTCAAACAGCTTTTAATTCGAACACCTTTACTGAACGAGGCAGCGACAAGGCGGGTACTAAGAAACTTGTTCAGAAGCGCGCTGCAATGTGATTCCCGCCAAGTGATAGGACTTATTTGTACCTCTGAGCCACATATTAAATAACTCATTTGCATATTGAAAACAGGAATGGAAAAGAGAATAGTTGCATCGTTGCTCCCATTCCTTGAATTTCCAGTTTATTCCAATCTATCCAGAGTAGAACGAGACAAAGGAGGTGTTCCATCTAAAGGAACATTAGAGATTATTTATTTACAGAAAACCCATTAATCCAATCGCAGCTTTGTATTTTCATTGAAGAAATCGGCAAGTCACAATTTGTAGAAGTGAAACGTTAAATACAAAAACAAATGTTTTCCAAATGAATGAGTTAAAGCCTAATAATCTAATATATAGAGCAGCTTTTAGGGTATACCCTCGTTATATGCTTTCGTATGGGATTTAAGATCAACATCTAGTGGATCCATCCCTTACAAACAAAGAACAACTTCTTTACTTTCCCTAACAAAGTCTGGATTTGGAAACGGGCCGGTGTATATAAAATTTTTTGACAAATTTACACCCTTGAGTGTTACTTAGAAAATATTTACTCCAATGGCAGATCCATCTTTAGAATATTTCCCATTCTTTACTTCGGGAACAAATTATGGATTCGCTTAACATATTTCAAATCCAATGAAAGCATGTCATAATCCGGACTTAAAACCATTGAAAACATGTACTTTGGAGGTCCACATTTCAGGATGTTTAAAAATCGGCAAGTAACATTTTATAATTTTATAAACAAATAATATACAAGGGCTACTTGTGGTAATATTTCCCAAATTTTTCAAAAAAGACGCCCAGAACTTAATTTGTCCCAGGACAGGATTTAGAACCGTCAGCAGAAACGGTCACTCATAGTGGGAACATTTCTAAGATATAATCATTATTAAACAACTATTCAAAAATTGAGGTCAATCTTCCCCAGCCCCTTTAAAGTTATTCTATTCCCCCGCGTCTTCCATCGGAAATAGGGGGAACGTTGAAATACTTATTAATTCCCGAAATAACATTGATTAGTCATTTTGTTGGATAAATAAAACAAGACCTAACCAAATAATTAATTCTGAGAAGATTTCTTTGTTGAAGAATAATTCGTAATGTTAGGCCAAGATAAAAAACTTTGGTTGTAGTTGTGGAGAGATGGATGGTTGGTTGGCTGACTTGGTTGATAGTGAGTAGTGAGTGAGTCACGCATACCAGAGAAGAAAACACTCTCAACAACATCTGGGTATCCAAACTCACTGAAAACAGACATTTCAAAGAAAGTAAGGGGTCCAATCATCCAACACTCCCTGCTCTCCACCATCACAGAGTTCTGTGTGTGTTGTCGTTGATGTTGGGGCGGGCGGCCACCACACAACTCAGAGAGTCATGGATAACCGGTTATCGTAAAAAAGTTAAATTTTAAACATAACAGACAACACTGCTCTGCCCTGCTGTGGAGAAAAAAGGTAAAGCTGCAACGCACTCACGAGTCGGCAAAGGTAGGCAGCCAGCCAGCCACCTCATCACAGTGACAGAGCCACCAGGTAAAAAAACAAGCAACTATGCGATATGACAGCATAGAAAAAGAACAACAACAAAAATCATGGTAAATGTTATTCTTAAAACACCAAAAAGAAAAAACGAAGTGGAAAAGGGAGGGCAAAAACATAAAAACCTTGTTCAAATTTTGTTTAAATAATTAATTTTTTTGTGTTATTTCTGGTTACTGACCTGATTTTCATGAGGCACCCACACCAAGCGTTTTTGTGTCCATTCAGCCTGTGTGGCCGGATCGTTGAATTGATTGCGTTCCACCGAAAGATATTTCAATTCGGGATCGTTGCGATCAACTTCTTCAGCCATGGTGATCGGTAGTTTGGTTCTGGTTTCTTCGTTTGTTAAACTGTCGATTATTTGTTGTCGAAATTTGCTTTCTTTTTGGCAAATTTATTAACACCACAATTTGTAATTTTATGGGGGGTTTCTATTCTTTTTTGAATTTATTTTTTGTTTTGTTGTTTAATTTAAGACACAATGACGCTCACACAACACAATTAAAAAACACTTAATTTGGTTTTCGTTTTGAAATTGATTTTTAATTGATTGTAAGATAAAAGAAAAACTATTTTATATAAAAAATTCGTTGTCTAATCTAAACTCTAAAAAAGAGGCAAACAAAGAAAAATATAAAAAAATATTTAATTTTTTTAAGGTGTGACTGTCACTTTGTTGTTATTTCAACAATATATTCCAATTTGCCCCACCGAAATGTCAGACTTCACTGATTAGTGTCCCAAAAGAACCGGACCTTCAAGGAAACGAAGAGAGCAATGTTAACTGCTAGAAGAGAACAAGGCTCTCTTTGATTCCTCTCGGCAAGGCATGGCCGGCCAGAAAAAAACCATCTGACATTTCTTCACAACGACGGCGATGGTGATGATGTTGTTGTTGGATTGCTGATTTGTTGCAGATGTCAATTGTCGGCAAAATTCCAAAAACAACAATGTGTAATACCACCAAAAGCTTTTAGCTTTATTAATTCTTTTCCTTTATTTTGCACTTTCTTATTGGAATTGACTTTTTCACTCTTTTTTTTTTCAATTTTGTTAATCACATATTTCTTATTCTTCGTCGAGATATTTTTTGGTTTCCAAGCTTGCCTTTTTAACACAAAACATTTGAAAATAATAAAAAATGAGGTTGTTTTTTTTTCTTTATTTCTTTTTTGGAAGAAAATAATATTTAAACGAATGAAAATATATTATCCACAATCCGTAAATCCAATTGAGCGACGACCGTCTTGTCACTCTGCACTTTAAAGACTGATTGAGCACAAACATTACAAGTAAGAGTATTTTTGTTCAAAAATTGAGCAAGGCCAACACTCAGCAAAAGAGCAACAACAACAACACCAACGACACAATCAATGCAAAAAATGTTTTTTTTAATGTTTTTCTTTTTTTCGCTGCTGTGCCGCCTGTCTCTCTGCGAGTTTATGTCGCCGCGGCACAAAACCTTCGTTAAGTGTCGGTCTCCGTGTAAAATCGTATGAGCGTGCAAACAAAATATGCTTGCTTTGCATTTTAATCCATACTCTTCCTCTCCAATAGTTTAGCAAAAAAAACAATATTTGTTTTAAATAAAATCTATTTTTCTGGATGAAGAAAATCTTTTGAAAACTCCACAGCAGCCAAACAAGGGCAACAATAGTAAAATTTCCTTTATTTAACACACAAATAACTCAGTAACTTCGTCTTTGTTGCCTTTCTCCACGAAATGTTGATGACTAAACTCTTTAGTTGGGCTTATGCACACACAACAGCACCACTGAAATAACACCGCACTAATGAATTATGTTCCACTTTAATTTATGTTTCATTCAATTATTCTTTTCAGCTTTTCAACAATTCGAAGCAATGTAAACTTTTTTAACAAATTTTGTTAATTTTATTCAACCTTTTTTAAATTCTTTTTAAACGCTTCAAAAAAATGCACAAAAATTCTTTCACTCTGACTGACAATTCGCTGTCGGCACTATTCTGGGCGGGTTTCGTTAAATATATGCATCTTCCCATTCACGGCAGCTAAACATGGTCGTGACGTATAGCAGCGTAAGTTTATAAGCTATACGTTATGTTATTAATTCATTTAAACAAGAAATCGGATATTAATAATAAAAACGAAGTAAATAATATATGAAAACAATAGTAACTGTTATCTGCAAAATTAATTTCTAGAGGAATGTTAAACACACTTTTTTTGTAAAGTGGAATTAATAGGACGTAACGTATAGCGTACTTCTATTAGATAAAAAAGGCTGTTGTGTCAAGCAAATGCCGGTCAGGGTGGCATTTAGTGAAAACGTTTTAAGTTGAATTTTTAAATAAAACGCTTGGGAGCATTGGTATGTCAAAATAATTTAAATGTTTTTTTAAAAATAAGTAGATTTTGTAATGTTTTCTTGTACGACGTCATTCGGAGGTTATTATAATTCGCATATTTCAACAATATTGATTATTATTTTCAATTCCAAAATTGGTTTGACAGTTCATTGTCCCAGCAGCTGTGTCGATGCGTCTACCTATATTTTTCTACCATGAAAAGCCCTCAATGTTACCGCGTGTTTACATATAATTTTTTTATTCTGATTAGTGCACATTATTAGGATTTTTAATCTTAATCTCGTCCAGTTTTTTATATTAAAATAAATGTGCTATGGTATAACCATGGTACAATGAAGAGAAGATAGGTCAACTTTGAAAAAATTGCAAGTATAGAGGTCTACCTGTTTGGCTTGTAATGTCAGAATTAATATCAAAACAATAAAAACTCAAACAACTTGTTGCATTGGTTTTTAATAAATAATTTAAAACCGCGAAAACTGAATGAAAGGTCAAAATTTCTTTTCAATATCGTGTTCTATATATCTCTAAAGGATTATTTCGCTATAAAAACTCTAGATTTTGCCGATGCATACGTTGAAATAAACATTTTGAAAACACCCGAATTTCAATGTTTTCTGAACAATTTTTTGTTATTGAAAAGAAAACACATACATAAACAAATAAATATGACATATTAAGCCAAGAAAATAAAAAAATTGAAATCATATGGTATCATAGCCTGAGAAGGTAGGTCAACTTTGAAAAAATTGCAAGTAAAGAGGTCTACCTGTTTGGCTTGTAATGTCAAAATTAGTATCAAAACAATAAAAAAAACAACTTGTTGCATTTATTTTGAATAAATAATTGCAAACCGCGATAACTGAATGAAAGGGCAACACTTCTTTTCAAAATCATGTACTATATATCTCTGAAGGATTATTTCGCTACAAAAACTCTAGATTTTGTCGATGCATACGTTGAAATAAACATTTTGAAAACATCCGAATTTGAATATTTTCTGAACAATTTTTTGTTATTGAAAAGAAAACACATACATAAACAAATAAAGATGACATATTAAGCCAAGAAAATAAAAAAATTAAAATCATATGGTATCATAGCCCTACCTTGATATCATTGTACCATGGATTTATATATGTTTTCTTATTCGGAAGATATTATAATATACGTATTTTTAACAATGTTTACAAATTTAAATAATTTTTCATTCAACATTTTCAATTCCAAATTTGGCCATTGTCCCAGCAGCTGTGTCGATGCGTCTACCTATATTCCTCTACCATCAAGGTAGGGCTATGATACCATATGATTTTAATATTTTTATTTTCTTGGCCTAATGTGTCAAATTTATTTGTTTATGTTTGTGTATTCTTTTCAATAATATATAATATATTTTCAATAATATAGAAGGTAAAGTCATGCAATCATATGATTCAATTTTTTTCAAAATCATTCATTTGTCATCTCATTGTCAAAATTTATATTTACAAATCCATTGTATACACATAAATCACAGATGAGAACCTGTTTTTATGCAGTGAAATTTGACAAGGTAAAATTAACCCACTGGGTTTAATAAGTCTAGTGGGTTAATCATGCCTATTTATATACACCCTTGGTAGAAGAATATAGGTGGAGACATCGACACACCTGCGGAGACAATGAACTGTTAAACCAATTTAGGAACTGAAAATGTTGAATAAATAATTTAAATTTGTAAAAATTGTTGAAAAACGTGTATTATAACAACCTCCGAAAGACGTTGTATAAGAAAATATATAAAAATGTACTAATATTTTCCGTAATTTACCTTATCAAATTTCACTAAATAAAAAAGAGGTTCCCATCTTTGATTTCTGTGTACACAATGGGTTCATACATGGCTCAATAAGAAAGATTGGTCAACTTCAAATTTAATATACCCTCCATACTATGCTGGAGGGTATGAAAACAGGTACCCATGGCTTTACCTCCTTGATTCTCCTTCTTCAAAATTTGTTTACACTTTGTTGGCTTATTGTTTATCTTTTGTTCTGCGATTTCATTTTGACAATAAATTTGAAAGTCAGCTGGCTTGGAAAATAAATTTTATATTGTGGCAAATTGTTACTGGGAGTCGTCCTTTCACATAAGTTTTTTTCTGAGTGTTTGCAAATTTTTGCTGGAAAGATTTCTTCTTGTAATTACTTGCAACTTTTTTCTCCTGTCATTGATATATATTTGCACAAAACATATTTATTTTGAACAGTTGAACATTTTTAACATTGGCGATTGAACAATTTTTTTATTGCCTGTTGTAAATAGAAACGTGCAATACAAAAAATTGAATGTTTGCTGTTGGAAAAGTATCAATTTCTGCAACGGTTTTATTTGGCAATTTCTAATATATGGACCTTTCGTATTTGAGTAATATAGTCGTTCAAAACATTTTACCATAGTGGGGATGTTTTCTCTAAATCAAAAGTAGATTGAAAAGAAGTTGACTTTGGCTGATATTAAGATCTGCTGTGAGCAGGAGATCGAAATTCAAACTAGTATTCCTATTATACGTTATTTTTTGGAATATTAGGAGCATATATGTTGCGACATAGGTACTTTCCTCATACTAATATGTATATCATTGTAGTCAGGTCACTAATAGAGGTAGTAATATTTCAGATCTTACGATCAACATTTGCTTTGTTCCAGAATCGAATATACTACATACGTAATTTTTCCGATACCATAAAGGAAAATCGGTTATGGTGGTAATATTTATACATCCCTGCAGGTTTTGGGACAATTAAGTGTAATTATCTATTATAGTTATAATTATCTATTATTTCTTACATTACGAAAAAACCTTTTACATGTTTTCATTTAAAGTTAATTGAATACCCAGGGTCCTGACCCTGTTTAAATAAAATAATATTAATTTTAATTGGCGAACATAAACTAAAATAATACTTATTCGTCTGTGTGTTTCTCTAGCCTTCCATACCACACTTTAACGTTTTATGAAATTTTTTACAAATAACAAGACAATTTAAGCTGTTTAAAAACTTAAAAGTTTAACTATGTATATTATTTTTCTTTATTAAATAATAACAAGGCAATGTAAATGTGTGTGTAATAGCATATATGATCATTTTTAGACATGATGTACCTATATGACAAAAATGCATCAACATTTAATTACACCAATGACTAATCTCCTTATAAAATCAACTAGAAGAACTTGACACCATAACTGCCATCCATTTCTATGAGCTCACATCTGCCTTTGTCTTCCAGCAGCCGCAAAACATTCACCAAAACATTTTCGTCAATACCATGAAATTCCTTGTCTTCCGTCGACTCTCCATTTGCTATTTCATAGAGTGTACATACACTTCCTGTCTGCCCGGTCTCTTGTATCCAATCGTAAATCATATTTCCATACTCTTCCAGCGTATGCCAATATACTTGCCATTCTTGACGTTTTTTGTCCAAGGGTTGGGCATGTCCTGTGCTTTGTAATTTTTGAAGAATTTGCAATATCATAGATGGAGACAGTCGTCGATTAAGAGATTCATTGTAGTACAGTGGAAATGATCCTTCGTTTATGTTTACAGTGAACTTGTTTAAGTGTTTCAGGTATTTAAGAAATAATTCAGACCAAACATTTAGTTGTTGTTGCCGTGTTTCTTCGTGCGGTTGTAATCTAAGAAGAGATAGTAGAAATTACACGACTTTTTTAACATGAAACAAATCAATTTTACTTACGTGAAAAAGGGCGGAAAGGTATACTCCCAAGGCCACTGGAAATCCGTCATTCTTGTAGTTCCCGAGTTGTGTCGTTCCGGAACGGAAAAGTTCAAAGCAAATATTCAGTGAAATGAACCATCAGAACTGTATAAACTAGTTCATCTATTTAACTCGTTTCGAGACAAAAAATCAGGTAGACGCTCAAGCAATTTTGTATAATACAAAATGCCTTGTTACATTTGCTGCCAGATCCTACAAAAATGTCAAAATGTAACTACGAAAAATCGATCGAAAAAAATAGATATATCGAAAAAGGGATAATTAATAGATTTCTGTAGGTTCTGGAACAATAAATATATGTGAAAATAATTTCATATAAGTTAATAAAGCTATATACCATGGTAGAATTAAGAAGGCAAAGTCATTTTATCATATGTTTATATTTTTTGCCAAAATTATTCATTTGACAACATCATATTGCAAAATTTATATTTATAAATCCATTACATTCGCAGAAATCAGAGATGGGAACCTATTTTTTATTCAGTGAAATTTGACAAGGTAAATTACAGAAAATGCAGAGATAGGAATGCTTATTTGAAATGACTTTACCTTCTTAATTTTACCATGGAATGTATAAATGTACATTTTGTCAATTAGCTATTGTCAAATGAATAATTTAAAACAATGTAAACATATGTTTGCATGACTTTGCTTTATTAATTCTACCATGACAAGGAGATCACAAACTGCCAAAACTTCTTAAATCTTCCGATTTAGTTAGGTGCGTATTTCTGTAATTTTGCGAAGCTGTTCCACCTCCTTATTGTACCATGAATGCAACTATGTACTAGAGTCTTAGTATGTCAAATAGACTGCACCAATTGGTTTTGTTTATTTAACATTATTCAAAAAAATATTATACTATATATTATTAATTATTGAATCCAAGATAGTAGACAAGATTGTTTTATCCCAAAATAGTATTTTTTTGTTCATTAACGTGGAAAATTCGAATTTCTGTTGCATCTAAATTTGAAATAATTTCAAATTATTTTCATTTTTATTCAAAACAATACACACATATACAAACTGTGTAAATGCTTTGACAGAATAGGGACACCATAAGAAAACAATTGTATTTAGGGGGTAACTTTGTTCTACCTTCTGTAATTGTGCTATGTGTGGACCCATGGTACAATGAAGAGAAGGTAGGCCAACTTTGAAAAAATTGCAAGTATATAGGTCTACCTGTTTGGCTTGAAATGTCAGAATTAGTATCAAAACAATAAAAAAATCAAACAACTTGTTGCATTTATTTTGAATAAATAATTGAAAACCGCGAAAACTGAATGAAAGGTCAACACTTCTTTTCAAAACCAGGTTCTGTATATCTCTAAAGGATTATTTCGCTGCAGAAACTCTAGATTTTGTCGATGCATACGATGAAATAAACATTTTGAAAACATCCGAATTTGAATGTTTTCTGAACAATTTTTTTGTTATTGAAAAGAAAACACATACATAAACAAATAAATGTGACATATTAAGCCAAGAAAATAAAAAAAATTGAAATCATATGGTATCATAGCCCTACCTTGATATCATTGTACCATGTGTGGACCTATATGGTCCATTTTCAATACGAAAATATCTACTAAACATGGTAGAAGAATATAGGTAGACGCATCGACACAGCTGCAAACCAATTTTGGAATTGAAAATCTTGAATGAAAAATTATTTAAATTTGTAAAAATTTTTGAAAAAAAGTGAATTATAATAACCTCCGAATGACGTCTTTGAAGAAAACATATAAAAATCGACTTATATTTTAAATAACATATAAAATTGTTTGACATATCAATGTTTCCAAGCGTTAATGCATCCATGGATGCATCTACCTGTGTTCTTCTACCAAGCTACGGACCTATAATACATTTGAGTAAAATTGTATCAAACAAATTCAGTTCGTTCGGAAGTTAGAGTGGTTTTCACAGACAGTTAGGTGGATCGACAGACCGACGGACTGACATATAGTATATAATATATGGATATTTCGAGGTGTTACAAATCTGAATCTCCGACTAAATATATTAAAAAGTCGAACATAATGTGAAATATTTTGTTTTTGGCGGCTTCAAATTTCACCTCATCGGCATCTAATTTTGCAGTCAGCTGTTCTACCGCTGTTTTGACAGTAGACACGCTTTTTAAATAGGTTCTTCTGGCAATTTGATGAAAAGAAAAAACAGAATTGGAAAAACTGCCGAGAGTGTTAGACGTCGCGCCGCAGTCGTTGTTCGAAGTGAAAACAAAAAATATTTAATCATCACAAATAACAATAATAAATAAAAGGAACTTACGCGTATTAGTTAGTTTTTTAAATCACAAACAACTGAAAGCATTAATAGTTATTTTTACGATTTCTATTTGAAATCCAAAAGGAAAACAAGAAAGAAAAGTTCTGTTGTATTTGTGTGCAGTTTATACTTGGTTGTTCGAGCTAGGAACGCCCACCTAAAAACAAAAACGAAGGCGTAAAAATATATTTTGAATAGTCATTAATCCAAACCCATATAAATGAAGTAAGTGTCCAGCCATCCAGTCAGCTATATAAGTAGAGGTGGCTGGCGTTGTTTGCGTTTGTGTAAATATAGAAATTTAATTTATTGCCTTTGCTTGCAGTTGATATTGAAATGGCTGCCTTGAGTGACACGCCCACACCCACTCCAACTATAATGCCCAGCGTCTCCATTAAAGTAGAACAGGGTGTGTTGGATGATGATGAAAACACTGAATATGGGAGTGGTAATTATGGGGACCATAGTAACAGCAATTCAAACTTCAACGAAACTGGGAGTAACGGCAGCAGTCCAATTGACTGCAAAAATACAGATGCCGCCAAAGTTTCCTTCCACAGAAAAGTACAAATAAAAAATGAGCCAGCCATTGAGATAAACGATGGTTTCTATGACATGAATGTCAGCAGCGATGATAATAAGTCATTGTCGCCCAGTACACCCCTCAGACCTAGTGGAACATCTCCAATAATACGATTGACGCCCACCGCCAAGCTAATGCCGACACCAAACCCAGCTAATCCCAAGAAACGTTACGAGTGTCCATATGAAAATTGTACAAAAAGTTATGGCAAGAGTTCACATCTTCGTTCACACTTGACATGGCACACGGGCATTAAACCGTTTGTATGTAAAGATTGCGGAAAAGGATTTACCCGGTCCGACGAACTTAATCGTCACATACGCACACATACGGGTGAGAAACCATTCGAATGTGTTACGTGCGGTAAGAAATTCTCCCGAAGTGATCATCTGACAAAACATTTGGCAACACACACAAAACAGCTATTGGGTTTGTTGGGCGGAGAGGGATCTACTGTTTTGCCTTTAGCAACGACACCTAAAATGCCCAAACTTATTCCATACTCCCCAACGCAATTTCTAAGAGAACAGCATTGTAAACTCGCACCCACCGGCGGTTTATGTAAAACACCAGCGCTCATGGCCCGCGAAGTTATATTCGATAAGCAAATTGACATAAAGGAAGATTTTGGAGAAAAAATCCAACAGACTTTAAATAAAAATATTGGATCCGAATGTCAGATGCAATCAAGCGATGGGGTAGTAGTTAAGGAAGAAAAAATCGAATCTGAAACAGTAGAAGAGAAACCCAAAATACTAATCGCCAAACTTGAGGAATTATCCCAGAGAAACGGAATTCAAAACGTTCAGCCCGGTTTAGTTGGACGACATGATAATATTGTTGGTCATATTTATAATTTGCAGAGATCATCTGAAAATACTTCTAGTTATAGCACGACAAAGCCATATCCAAAATTAAATCTTAAATCGGAGGAAAAAATTAATGAAGATCCAGACGATGATGCAATTATGCCAGAAGCTAATTTGCCACCATTAATACCTATGCCCAGCAGTGTTAAAGCATTTACTCCTATACCAATGCCACCAAAATCTAAATCTCACTTAGACTTGCCGAAAATTAAACAAACTGTAAAGGAATCCCCACCACATGTAGATGATGATAGACCACATGCTTGTAATCAATGTCCCAAAAAGTTCAAACGACCCGATGAACTAAAGCGACATATACGTACCCATACAGGTGAGAAACCGTATGCCTGCAATGAATGTGAAAAACGTTTTATGCGAAGTGATCACTTGAAAAAACATATGAACTCCCACACCAGGATAAGATGATCAGCGAAAGAACACAAATGGGAAAGTGCGTCATAATCGAAATGTCATGTTTGTACAAAATAGTATTGTTTAGTTTTTTCTTTCATTAGAAAGTAAGAGTCAAGTCAGGACTTTAAACGTAACTTAAAAAAAAAAGAAAAAATCATAATATGCTGGAAAATATACGATGCAGGTTCGTAAATTGCTATTTTTTAGAGTATTTTATTGTTTTAGCATTTAAATTAATTTAAACAATTAAATGTAAGTTGTAAATTTGCACTCGTAAAGTATTATTTTGAATTGTCCATAATAAACACTTGTTATTATGTATGAGGTTTAAAAATGAAATATATAAAGCTTATTTGATTTGTTAAGGGTCTGCTTCTGAGGAAGGGATAAGAAAAGATCGAGATTGTTAAGTAAGTCTTTGATCAATTGAATCCCCCAAACTATTTCTGGTTAAAATTACATCGGAAATATATACATCTCTGGGGAATGGTACTTAAAAACTTTATGATTTTTTATTTCGGTATGAAAGATATGATTGAAACATGCATTTATATTTAGACGAAACGCCCACACCTTGAACTTTGATAATGTTATAGAGGGGTGTGTCATCAGTCAATATGGTGAGAAGACCCCAAGTAAACCAAGTCAGTTGTTTACTTTTAATTTAATAATTAATCTATTTTTGTCATAAATTCAATATAAAAGAAAAGCGAACAGGAAATAAAGTTAAGGGTGCCCAACTACGTCTCCTATACGCTTCATGGAAAAATGTAATATGTTTTAAATCAAATAATTTGTTTAGGTAAAGAAGAAAGTGCTTCTAATCGCACGAAATTCCAATACGCATGCAAAGAGACTCCTTAACGCCGGTGTGTTATGTGAGTGTAGTAGGTTTGCAGTAAGGGTACCAACAGTATTCTTACGGAACTTTGCTAATACCTGGGTGCTTTAA